TTTACACTCATAATTATTTTTTAAAGATCAAAAAAAATATTTGGAGAATTAATGAAACTACCAAAACACTTGCACTCTCAAAACCTTAACCCTTATTTTCAACACTCCTCTCCCTCGACTTGCACTCTCAAAACCTTAACCCTTATTTTCAACACTCCTCTCCCTCGACTTGCACTCTCAGGTTTTCTTTTTTCTTGATCACAGTCTCTCTCTCTCTCTCTCTCTCTCTCTCTCGGTTTTTGAGTGACAGTGTGTGTATGTCTTCTACGTGTATGGTGGGTATGGTGTATGTATAGTGTGTTGTGTATGGTGTGCATGTGCGTGCTGGGTGTGTGTGCTATGTGTCTTAGTCTTCTCTTTTCTTTTTTTTTTTTTTTTTTTTGTTTTTTTTTTTTTGTTTAGTGAGCCTCTAAGGCTTACAACCTAATTGACATATTATACTATACAAATAAATCATAAATACAATATATATAAATATAAATATCCCATATAAGATCAATATAAATAAATTTTTTTCATATAATATATATATATATATAAATAATTGCATTAATTATATATAATAAATAACACATTAAATTAATTAAATACTACATTAAATTCTCATATAGCCAAGCAATTAATAAAGTCCAAAAATAAAATAAGGTAATAATAATAATAATAAATAATGACTAAAGTAAAATTAGGATCGCCATATTCCTTTTATTAGTGATACCTGCAAGTGTAGAGGTTAAGTTGAGTTTTTAATGACTCTGGTGTGTTGAGCTGTTGAATTGAGTATAGAAGGATACACAAGTAGAGTCAACTATGTGAGTGTGAAGTGTAGTCGCTCCTATAAGAATTGATAAGGCCTAATTCTTTAAACCACTCACTTAACTAGGCCAGTGTTCCATGGCCAAACCGAACACAAAAGTGAGAACAGAACGATGGTTAGAGTAATGCATGTGTGAGGTCTGTTGTCTTGGTTTACATAAACAGCAGCACAGCTCAAGACTTCGTGTTCACTAGGCAGCCAGTAAATCCAATAAACTTCACTAGGAAGAGTTCAAAGCCAAAAACTACATTTTTTGAGGCAGGAGTTATTCCATTACACTCTCTCTTCGAGTCTTTGTTGTTAAGCGTTGTCCATTTATTGTTATTCGGTCAGTTTTTATTCATGTGGGGGATTGTTGGAAAATAATAATTTTTTGGTGACTTTGCTGCAATATTAAAGTGGTGCCAATCCTCAATTGAAGTGGATTAAAGTGGGTTTAGATTCTTTGTAGTGAAATCTTTACACCATAAAAAGAATGAGAAAAAATTATTAAGATTTGAATGAGAAATTGACTTATTAAGTTGGCCTCATGAAAGAGGTGTTGGGAAACGTGTGAAACCTTCTATCCCACATTGATTGTAAATGAGAGCATTGATGGATATTTAAATCTCATTTTTTGTCTCAGGGTGTGAGCCCTTTAGGGCATTCAAATTTTCCAAAAGAAGGGAGATATGGATGTTTCAAGGATGGATTTGGGCCAACACTATGGTCCAAGTTGGTTATGAAAAAATTGCCACACATGCACGTGCGCCAGTTGCCCACCAGGACCAGGCCGAGTCCTGGTCCATGGCCCGTGATCTGTGGGTCGTAGGTCGGGGATCTTGGATCTTAGGCTTGGGCTTGAGCTTGAGGCTTGCATGATTGGATTCAGTGTGGGGGTTGGGCTTGGCCCACCCATTTTAATCTTTTTGGGCTAAGCCAGATATATGGGCTGCAGAATTATACACATTACGTGTATATAATAGAGCTAGTAACTCTTCTATTCATGATGGACTTTAAGCCATTAGTTTTGCACCATTATGTAGAAATTAATCCTACATTTGTTGCAGGAGTCTTTTCTTCTCTCCCTCCATGTGTATAATAGGAAACCCTTCTCCTTCATTCTTAGACGCCAGAAAATTTGAGTTCTAGAATTTTTGTTTCCTCCAGTTTTTCTATTCTTCCGAGTGAAAGAGTTCTGCTAAAGTTTTGTTAGCCAAAGCTACACTATAGGTGCTTGGCTATAGCTGGTTCAACCGTCGTGTCTTAGGAGACAAACGTCGAACAACCTCCAGCACCCCAATTGGTGAGGCGGTGAATCTGTTTTAAGAGATTGTCTAATACAAGTTTCGGTTTGCTTCCTTTTGCTATTTTATTTTGTCATGTATTTCTGTAAATTCCAGCATGTTTTCTTGTTCTGAAATTCAAAGTGTTAAATATGAATCTATTTGTCTTATTTAATCATACAATTTTAACAACAATGGCCACGTCTTCTCAAGAGTTACTTTGAGGATGATATTGCTGCTCGTAAGCAAATCTCCACATGTAGATAAGGTCGATGAAAACACAAAAAATGCAAAAAAGATTTGTCCAGGGATGTTACTTTTACAGTTAATGTTTCTAGTCCTATTGAAGAGGAGCATGTGAATGGTATTTGTAACGAAAAACTTGGTACTAGTGATTTGGAAGGTTCCGATAGTATTTGGATTCAGGGAGGCAAGGGCAAGATTGTCTAAAAAAAATGAAAAAATATTAATCTGCCCTTCATGGAAGATATGTCTGCTGCTCAAGGGTTTAGGAAGTAAAATAAATTGAATTGTCTTTTTTATCAAAAAGAAGTCTGATGAAAGGGGTTTGGGCCAAATTTCTCTTTAGGTAAGGGGGTTCTTTTTTCCCCTAGTTTGGCTAATGGGTATTGAAGCTCTTAGACAAACTTCAATACTAGTAGGCATTTTCTTACATTAGTACATGAAAAAGTATATTATCTATATTTTGATTAATACTAGTAGGCATTTTCTTACATTAGTACATGAAAAAGTATATTATCTATATTTTGATTAATCACATTGTCTAATGTATATTTCAACAATGCATTCTACTCTTTAAATTGGTTTGCTTAACATTCAACGCTCTTTAAATGTAGTTAGTCAAGAAAATATCAAATAAAATTTGTATCATGCTGCTAATTCTATTAGCGTTCCTTTCTATACCTGGTTTGGCATAAGCTATATAATCCATCTTTTTATCTTTTTTCCATCATATCACCTCTCTATTTTTCTGCACATCTTTTCGTAAAAAGACAAAAAGTGTACTTTTTTAGGACACCCCAAACCAATCTAGGCAAAATATGAAAAATATTCTAAATGTCTATCTAATTGGAGATGCTCTTAGACCTATCAATCCTTGTGTTCATGCAATCTTGTATTCTACCTTCGTTTGGCATGCTAGGCTTTTTGGTTATTTTAATCACAAAAAGACAAAATAGGCTTTTTAGTCCAATAAAACAAAACATTATATCCAAACCATAATTATTTCATTTTTTCTCTCACAAAAGCCAAAAAGTAAACCCACATCCCAAACTATAATCATTTTTCAGTCCTTGTTTGATACAAGTTTTGACGAGCTAAAAATTAACAATTTAAAATAAGATACTAAAATCTTTGAATTTTTCAATGATCAACTTTCTTAAGTTACATTTTTATTTGGAAAAAACTACACCAAACAATGTAGTACTCAATTTAATTATATAAAAAAAATAATTAAGCACCCATAAATTACAACAGACAAAGGCCATGACTTGAAAATAAAACTTCTCCTTATTAAAATGTTGCTGGCATATTACTTAACCACATCCTAATTTTTTTTTTTTAATTTTATTATTTTTATGTTAACCCTTTTTTTCATTTTCATGAATTAAAAGAAAAACAGATTAGCCCTTACCAATCATAATTTGACCAGCAATTATTTATTTATCTATTTATTTTTGTTTTTTGTTTCCTTCTTGTGGAATTCTGGAGGGTGGAATGAGTAAGTACAAATAATTAAAATTTTAAATAGTTCTCTCTTTTGACAAGATAGAATTATTTTATGATCCTCCTATTTGAGGGGTTTTCAGAATTTTCCAAGTAATTTTTCATTTGATGTCTGGAATTTTTACTAGCATAATTTTAAGCATTGTGGATATTTGATTAAAATTAAATCATTGTTCCATTTACACTATTGGAAACACCATCATTATTAGCAAAGTAACATTAGCTGTATGCATTGCTATCTGTCAACTGACAACTAGGTGTTGCTTTAAGGGAGGTTGCTGTGTTGTGCCAAGCATTTTAAATCTCAAAATTCCGAGTTAAAAAAAGAATAATGTTAGAGAGCCTAAATATTCTACTAAAAGTTTTACCAAATGTCTCACATGGGTGTGGGACCCACATAATGTGAGTCCCATGTGGGACCCACAACCATGTGAGACATTTGGTAAAACTTTTGGTAGATTTTTTAAGACCTCTAACATTTTTGTTAAAAAAAATAAAATAAAAAATTCATAAGTAATACATTTAAGTTGCAACAAACAACACTAGTTTTATCAGAATTATTGGGCATGCCCATTTTTCTAGTACTCCATTGTCGTGATCTATCAAAATCGGATAGTAACAAAAAAATCAATAACATTGCATTAAAACTGTAATCTACATTATTAGTACAAAATTTAGAGCATAAGTGCCAAAGATAATTCCAGACCAAAAAGCAAAATTGACAGTCAAAAAGTTTTACCAAATGTCTCACATGGGTGTGGGACCCACATAATGTGAGTCCCATGTGGGACCCACAACCATGTGAGACATTTGGTAAAACTTTTGGTAGAATTTTTAAGACCTCTAACATTTTTGTTAAAAAAAATAAAATAAAAAATTCATAAGTAATACATTTAAGTTGCAACAAATGCATGCCCATTTTTCTAGTACTCCATTGTCGTGATCTATCAAAATCGGATAGTAACAAAAAAATCAATAACATTGCATTAAAACTGTAATCTACATTATTAGTACAAAATTTAGAGCATAAGTGCCAAAGATAATTCCAGACCAAAAAGCAAAATTGACAGTCAGAGTCTGCAGAACTCCCTTTGTACCTGCTCCATTCCAAATGACACGGGAACCTAAGTTCTGCAAGAAAAAGGGCCATGGATATATATATATATATATATATGTATATATAAATCGCATGAGAAGGTCATTTATTGCAATAAATTGTGCACTCACAAATAATTTGAAAGCGATGAGGGTTTTCATCACAGCCCCATAAACATATAGAATGCAATGATCATTTTAATTTACATAAGATACAACCACCATGTCACAGTAGATTCTCAGATTGAAACTGTTGATTTACCAGTTAGGGTCGTAAAAAATCAGCCACGGGACTAAGAATCATAGCCTAAGCTCCATTGTTGAAGCTGACAAGTAGTAAGTATGCAAGCAATGGAACATGCAATGGACTGGTCACTCTCCTCTATAAGTTACAAAACATTTCCAGAGAGGAAACAAGACTTTAGTGGGCAGCTCCAAATACACCCCTATGATACTCACAAAATAATTGCACCATCCAGAATAGTAGCTCCCTAGGATTCTCTTTATCTTCTTGGCATGTTGTTATACCGCATGCTTCTTCAATTTTTTCTTGTCTTGTTAGCTCACAGATTACTACTGGCTAACGTTATTCCCAAGGCCTAAGGATCGCTGAACCGAGAACTGCAGTGATAATAAAGATACCAATAACCAGCACACTGTCTGCTTTACAACCACAAGGCACTAATCAAGACTCATTTTGCAGTTATTCTGCTGTCCCTGTGACCTGCCACAAAGTTTTGCCTAATCAGTTATGCTGTTAAACAAATTCAGGAATGAAAAACTGTTATGATGAACTTATGATGGATATGGACCTCTTTTTTACTTTGAAGGCTGAAATAAGTTGTTTGTTACCACGCACTATAAGAGCAAGGCTTCAGTAACAAGCTAAGAAGCATGGACACTTCTAAGGAGGTGCGTGTCCATGTTTGACACACCCGACACCAACACTCATCGGACACTTTATTGACATATGTCAGACACAAGTCCAAACGTGTCATATTATTTTTTAATATTTTTTAAACCTGCGCATACTTCGAACACTTGGGCTATATTTGGTTCATTGGAATGAGATGGAATGGAATGGAATGATGATTTCTTAGGTTTTCCTATGGAATGACCATCCGTTAACATAGTGAAAGATGATTCCATTTGTAATGCATTTGTCATTATATTTTTAGTCCAACCAAATATATGAATGAACATTTTGATGAAATCATCATTCCATTTCAGTTCATTCCAATGAGTCAAACACTACCTTAACTTAAGGGACAAACATGTCCATACACATGAAAAGTGCATTATATGTTTAAACCAAATAACTTAAATACAATGATAAAAGAAAAAACAATATAAATTTATACCTATTAAATTTATTAAACTTTAGAAATTAGTGTTTGTGGGCGTCGTGCCTTTTTCGAGTCTAAGTCATTGCTTCCCACACCGACTTGCTTTATTGATATAGAGTTGCCACGTAATTTTTAAAGAGGAATTAAGTAACGTTGAACGATGAAAATTAAGTTAAGGTCTAGTCCGTCATAACCAAGAAAATTCTAGGTTCGGGAGTTTAGGTACAAAAAGGAAAGGTCATTTTCATAGAAGCACCCCCTTTTACCCAATCCGAAAATTGGCTTCTACTAACTTTCTTCAAGATGATCTTGGTGGTTAATTGGCCCCTTTTGCAACCAGAATTCTCAAATTTTTTTTTATTTAATTTTTTTTTTATATGTGCAATGTCATAATCCATTAAGCTATCTAATCAACCCATGTAACAAGCATTGGACCAATGACTCCCAAACCAAATGTTTTTAGGGCACTAGGTGTGAAGACACCCCTATGGACTTAATAACTCGAGCTGAAAAGGCTACGGATCTGAACAAGTCATTTCATTATTTTTCCTTAACTGTGCAATGTCTAAGTCCCTCAAGCTTTCTAATTAACCCATGTAGCAAATATTGAGTCAATGACTCCCAAATCAGACAATTTTAGGATACTAGTTGACACCCCTACGGGCTTAATAACTCGAGTTAAAAGAGGCCACGAACCCAAACAAATCACGTTTTTTCTTTTTCTTTCTCTTTCTTTCTTTTTTATTTTTTTGGTGAGAATCAAGGCTACTCATTTATTCTTTTTCTGCAACATTGATAATTATCAATAATGTACACTAGGGATTATAATAGAGAGGTCACCGCTATGATAGTGCGTTCATGTGAACCAAGGCATACTCATGACAAGTCTACTAATACCACAAACAACTATCCTAGTGCAAACATCACATGCGAATATTTACCCAATCCCCTAACTTACATTTTGCTAGTCCTCAAGTAAAACAAAAGAAATAAGAAAAATAAAATAACTCTAAGTCACTTTCGTAGGGATCACGATTTCATTTAACATATATAATAAGCCTTTAAACAACCTTTAAAGCACAATCAGTCTTTCTAGGGCTAAGAAACTAGTTTTTGGCTAAAAATGGGTCCAAGGATAAAATGGTCATATTTGCAAAAAGTTGATTTTTGGCCAAAATGGGTTTATATGTCAACAACTCTAAACCACCTTTAAACATTCTAAGGGTGAAGTAAGTACCATTTCATCATCAGGAGGCTTGCAAGCGCCCAAAGTATTAGGGTCAGTTAAAATTGGGTGTCTACAGTGTTATGTTGCATTTTTTTATAATCTTTCAATGAAATATTCATATATACGAAATATAATAAATATATAAAACTGTATAATTGAAATGTGTCCCTCACGTATCGTGTCCTGCATTTTTTAAAAACTGACATGTTAGTGCATTCGTGCCATATCGTGTGGTTGTGTATGTGCTTCGTAACAAGTAATGGAGTCACATGCTTAACCAAATAAGGATTAAAATATTGTTAAAAGGGATGACGTGACAGGCAACTCTTCACATTTAACAAAGAAGAAAATGGAATCATAGTTGTATAAAGAATTAAAAAATAAAAATAAAGTAATAAATTATAAGTCATGTGATTACAAGTTATGCTATCATCATTTCATATCAAATTGATTACTCATAAATGTAACGGAGATTAATGTTGTGTTTGGTTGGGCGATTTGAGGAAGGATTTGGAAAGGAAAATGGAAAAGGTAGGTGAAATATGAATAAAACATGCCTATATTTCACCTATTTCACACACCTTTTCCCTTTCTCTTTCCAAATCATTCCTCAAATCCTCCAACCAAACACAGCATAAAGGTACATGCAATGGATCTATTGCCCTAAATCAGTGTTCCATAACTCTCATAACTGCAACTATTTCTTCTTTCTTCTTTCTTTCTTTCTTTTTTTTCCTCCCCCCTATTTGTTCAGCTCCAATAAATCAATGGACATCTTTAACTCCTCAGCATGCGAAGTATGGAGCATGACGAATACATAATAATGCCTTGCTATTTTTACCTTTTGATATATCATATACAGCACTAAACAAATAACTCCTAATTCACCTTCAGTTTAATAAAAGCAACTTCATTTCATCACATCCTTCCTAACATGTGTCTCCCTTTCATCCATCCAGCCTCCTCCAATTCCTGTGGCCTTTTGAAGCAGCAGAATTATGACTGCTGGTCATTAATCAGGTAATAACTATTTGGTTGTTTCTGTCCTAACCTTAATTTTTATTTTATTTTAAATCTGATTCCAAGCTAGCATCTACCCATACTGTTACTCCAAGAATTACATTTACATTGTTCAAAAGGACACAAGTTACAACATCATGGGCCTCCTGCACACAAAGGCACAAAGAGAGCTCTGTTGAAATTTTTTCAAAGAGTAGTGTCTATCAAAATATTCCCTGATGAGAAGAATGTTGGACATTCTTAGAGAAATCCTTCTTCAAACATGTGCTGTTTGACCTACATTTCTCTAATCATCTATAAATTGGGAAGAGAGAACTTAACAGTTGACCCTTAATAACAATAATGTCCAGAAGACTTTCTTAATTGGAGAAGCAATTTCAACCTCAACCTAGGAAACCTAACCAAGACCACCCAAACTTGTTAATGGGTGACAACCAGGATATTCATGCAAAACCACTTAGAGCTTGGGTTAAAAGTGGGTTGGACTGGGGTAGCCATCATGTTGGGATAAATGATTTTAAACTTAGTGCCTTTCATGAATTTTGAACTCCAGATTCACTCATCTGAGTAATGCATGCTAAACAGAGTCCACAATTGAATTCAGTGCTGCAATCCACACAATTACATTTACGACTTTGGGAATTCCAACTTTAGAATTGATAAACACCAGCAGCCACTCTTTCTTAAATTGGGGAGAGGGGAAAACAACAAACAATGCAGCCCCTTAGTATCTAGTTTTTCTCTGTTTCGATAACGATATTAGGGCGATAATCTTTGTTTCACTACATTGGGATGTGCCACACAAGATAGTGGGTGGGCCTGTTTTGAGGAGAAGATGCAATGCAACTTATGAGTGAAGCAAGAGGTAATGACCGTGAGACAAAACGCAGATTCAGAAGCACTAACGCTATGTTTGATTGGGGGATTTGGGAAGGGATTTGGAAAGGGAAAAGGAAAAGTAGGTGAAATATGAATAAAATATATCTACATTTCAGCTAGTTTCACATACTTTTTCCCTTTTCCTTTCCAAATTCATTCTCAAATCCCTCAACCAAACACGGCGTAAAAGAACCCTCCTTTGACCTTAGGCTTCACAGGATATTCATAAATCAAAAGGGCTGTCCCTATCAACTAGAGCTGGACCCTGGATTAATAAGAGGCCTCTAAGCCCAACAAAGGAAACACAGCTAGGTTGCATTAAATATGCCCAGCCAGCCTGCCACTCCTGAAAATAATACAACCTAATTGCCAGTTGCCATGGTGGCGGGCAGGGCCCGGCACTCACTCAACCCATGAAGCCCTTATCTCTAACCTTGGGCCAATACCCTAAATGACCATCCTAGGATTCATCCGAGCATGGCACATGTACCTTGGCCAATCTTGCATTAATTGTGCAAGTTGGAATGACCTACTATTGGGGCAAGGAATCACTTTTAGTTCCCTTTGGCTGCTTTTTTGAAAGGGATGAGTAAAAAGCCGCTTTAGCCTCAAAGGGGTAGGCAAACCTTGTTTGTAGTTAGTAGCCGCCACTATATTCCAACCACTTGGGGTGAGGTTTTACAACACTTGGGATTTCTTATTAAGAAGACTTGTCATTCTACTGTGATTCAACATGGCACTAGTGCATTAGTCCACATGTCACAATACTATTGATCATATGTGTTAACTTATGGCTCATCCATCTGGCTTTTAATTGGTCTTCACCTCCTATTCAGCCGGAAATAGAACTCAGCCCCTTCCGATCCATTCATTTCTACAAGCAGGGGGGATCTAAAGTTAAGCCCCTTCCTATTCAAGGTTGGGAGGCCTTGCCCCACAAGTACCCAACTTTTCTTTTGCACTTCATTCGGTTTGCCTCCATGAAGGAACCCTACGCGTATTCCAAAGGCCCTACTTCGATCAAGCGCAAGTCCCCCCTTCTATTACATGTGTCATTTGACTTTTCCACCCTTTGCCCTGTAAGATGGTCAATTTTGACCATCTATAAACTTGTTATTGTTTTCTTCATGCACAAGTTTGTAGGCTGCGCAATTCTCATCAAAGCTTCTCTTTATTATTTTTTCCCCTCTGCCCCTTCCTTTTGAATCTAAATTCTAATCTTTAAGCAATAGGATGGTACTCCTACTTTATTGTCTTTTTCTTTTGGATGGTATGAATCCGCTTTTCTGTTGGATATGATCATCAATGAAATTATTGGTTTCAGAGAAGATGACAGATTAATATTTGTATACTTGAAATCCTCTATTTTTCTTTTCCCTTTCACGCCCAATTTTTTTGCTCTTTAAAATTTGATATCTTTTGAACTTAGAAAGAATTCTAAGGTCTCTTTATTTTTTACTTTTCTTTGGAAAACAAAAACAAAAAAAAAAACAGAGACAATATATATATATGTGTATATGCATCACCTTGACATAACATGAGTTGTATGAACACATGTTTGGTTAGGTTGACCATGACCATCTTGATACATGCGTATATATAATGGCCAGAATCATATTTGAAATATATATATATATATATATCAAATACAAGTTACAACCCCACCCACTCTCTAACCCTTTAACAAATGGATGGGTTCAGGTTGGCATGTTTTAATCCACATGTCTTGACCCAAACCAAACCCACCCATTTGTCACCCCTAGCCCTAATCAATACAATTATCAGGTACATGAAACATAGTTTCAAGTTCCATTGCTAATAAAGGAAAAGTTGCAACAAACTCCTACATTCGAAACAAAAAACAGAAAGCTATGAGATACAGCAAATGAATTAAAACTTTGACAAGAATACGCCAAACAAAAAAAGAGATTCCATGCCACCCTTTAATGCAGCTATGCCATTCATGTATCAACTGTGTTATCATGTAATTCAACAACATTACGTCCACAGTAATTTCTTCGAGATAAACAAGTTAAACCAGTCTTGGTGGTCATTGAACCATTCTACTAGTTAATGCATGCATGTATGTATCTGTATGAAGGTGGTAACTTTTTTGGAGATCTCAATTTAACCTTTCTCAACAGCATATGCGACCTTTTACAAAAAAGAATAATAGAAAATAGCAAATAGAAAAATATACAGGCCTTAACAATTATTATAGTAGTTAATAGATAAACATATCTTATGTATTACTTACAATGACTGCTACTAGTATGCCTACTAAAGAAGCTTAATAGATAAATATGATAACCTGGCATGTAAACTCATCTGAGATACTTTATAGTTTTTTTTTTTCCTATCTCATATTCTACCTCTTCTGAAGGATATACCAACATCTCAGAAAATAAAATTGTTGTTTTTTCCATGTAGAAACAAACAACAAAATCTCAGAACATAAAATTTTCAAATGTAAATGCAATACTAACATACATTATACCACAACAGAAGTGGCTTCAGCAATAGGGCATGGGAAGTTCCTTGCCACCCACCTTTCTCGACAATCATTGAATACTATGATTTGACTATGATGGCACTGCAAAACATGCCCAATGGACAAACAAAACCTGTTTTTCCTGTAACCAGCAAGATTGTTGTGTCATACGTACGTATAAGTCATAGATGTTACAATTTGTAATTTCAATAATTAAAATAAGAACAACTTATTATCTTAAAATTAGAACAGCAACTTATTATCTTAAAATTTTCCCATAGATATATGCCTTAGAAAATCCTAAAGAGATATTTGATGCCACTGTCATAAGGGATCCAAGTGGCTTTTTTACGTGTTGGCTGTCGGCTACCTAACACACAACCCTCCTCCTTAACCTGGGCTTGGGACCAGCAGAGTTGTTAACAACCCCGGGTGTTTCGAAAAGTGAGCAAGGGGCGCCGCATCGACGCCTGAGTGCGGTGAAAAATGGGCAAAGGTTCTCACGTTTTTCTGGACGAGCGCAGGTAAAGAAGCTAATCTAAGAATACAGGTTTAGGGTAGCCATTTGGAATATAGGAACCTTAACTAGTAAGACGATAGAATTGGTAGATGTTATGATTATGATGAGAGTTAGTATAGCTTGTGTACAGAAAACTAAGTGGACGGGTGACAAAGCTAGGGAAATTGAGAATACCGATTTTAAACTATATTATAGTGATAAGGATAGACACAGGAATGGAGTAGGAATCATAATTGCCAAGGGTCTTGTGGAGAATGTAGTGGCGGTCATTAGGAAAGGGGATAGGATTATATTAGTTAAACTAGTTATTAGAGGGAATATGTAAACGTTATTAGTGCATACGCTCCTCAAGTAGAATTAGATGATCAAACTAAGAGGGATTTTTGGGAGCAAATGGATGAAATCTTACAGGAGATACCCGTAGGAGAGAACTGGTTGTAGGTGGAGATTTAATGGCCATGTAGGCATAGATAAATTGGGCTATGAAAGGGTGCATGGTGGATACGGTTTTGGTAATAGAAATGAGGCTGGAGAGATTGGTGGTGGCCAATACTATGTATAAGAAGAGGGAGGAGCATTTGATAACTTTTAAGAATGGGTTAGTTCAGAGCCAAATAGATTACTTCTTAGTGAGAAAAGTGGACCACTTAAAATGCAATGATTGTAAGGTGATTCCTAGAGAGAGCCTGGCCTCTCAACATAGGGTTTTGGTACTAGATTTATGTTTTAGAGAATAATACCAAGTTAAGAAGGATGGTGGGCGTCGTAGGACGAGATGGTGGGACCTAAAAGGGGATAAACTAGAAATACTTAAGAATAGAATGGATAAGGAAGGTACTTGGGATTTGGAAGATGATGCTAACACTATGTGGAACTCAATGGCCAATTGTATGAGGAGAATCTCAAGGGAAGTGCTTGGAGAGTCGAAAGAGATAAGACCTAGCTCTCGGGAAACTTGGTGGTAGAGGGAAGAAGTTCAAGCGGTAGTTAAGGCAAAAAAAAGAGTGCTTTAAAAAGTGGCAGAAGGATAGAACTGAGGAAAACTTTAAGAGCTATAGATTGGCTAATAAGGAGGTCACAAAAGTAGTGAGAGAGGCTAAGTTGAAAGCTTATGATGACCTATACACTAGACTAGATAGTAAGAAGGGAGAGAAGAGGGTATACAAACTTGCTAAGAACGGGAGAGGAAAACAAGTGCCTTTCAATCAAGTTAAGTGCATCAAGAGTGAGGATTCTAAAGTATTGGTGAAGGATGAAGAGATAAGTGGAAGATGAAAGAACTATTTTGGAAAACTATTAAATAAGGAACATGGAAGTATAGTAATAGGGGAAGAAATAGCCAGTAATACGATAAACCAAGACTATAGGTTCTATCGCAAGATTAGGAACTTTAAAATAAAGATTGTACTTAAGAAGATGAAATCAAATAAGGCTTTAGGACTCGATGATATCCCTGTGGGTATATAGTGTGGTTAGAGGTAGTCCAGGAAGATGGCGGGTACTTCAATGGCCTGAGATCACCGGAGGTGGAGAGGAGGTCAAGGCAAGCTTGGAGAGGGAGAGGTTGGCAATGATAGACCTTGAACACTAATGTAGAGTGTGAGAGAGGGTGTTTAAACATGAGACTTGGTTGTGTTATTTCGGCCATAGCTGGGATAAACCATCTCAAGTAAGATGCCCGACCAAGAAAGGTTCTCAGCTCGTCTAGATTGGTTGGTCGTGGCATATTTTTGATGGCGGTGACCTTTGCTGTGTCGGGGTTTCTCCCATGGCGATGAACAATGCAGCCAAGAAACTTGCCGGTAGTGACTCCAAAAGCGCATTTGAGTGGGTTCATTCGGAGTCTGTATTTCTTACAGTGTTCCAAGACTCTTTGGAGGTCTCTAAGGTGACTAGTCTCCTCTTTGGATTTCACTACCAAATCATTAATGTAACATTCCAAGGATTTGTGCAACATATCGTGAAAGATGGCTGTCATAGCTCTCTGGTATGTTGCTCCCGCGCTTTTTAATCCAAAAGGCATTATAGTATAGAAAAAGTTACCTATGGGAGTGCGAAATGCCATCTTTGGGGCATCTTCTGGAGCCATCTTGATCTGGTTGTAGTCGCTGAAGCCATCCATGAATGAGAACATATGGTGCCCCGCCGCTGAATTAATCAAGGTGTCTATGTTTGAGAGTGGGAACTCATCTTTGGGGCAAAATTTGTTTAGGTCTCTGAAATCGACGCATACTCGAATTTGACCATTCTTTTTGATAACTAGGACGATGCTAGAAAGCCAAGTGGGATGTTGGATGGGTTTGATAAACCCTGCTCCAAACAGCTTCACCATTTCGTCCTTGATGTTGAACTCCACCTCGGGCTTATAAAATCTTACCCCTTGCTTGACTGGGCGAGCCAGGGGGATGACGTTCAAACGATGCATGGTAACATCTTTGTCTAATCCTGGCATTTGTTCATATGTCCACGCGAAAACGTCCGAATACTTCTTGATCAATTCAATGAGGGGCCCCCTTTGTTCTGCTGGAAGATCTTTGCAAATGAAGATAGGACGCCTGGGTTCTCCTTCATTGGCTATGTTGATTTCTTCCAGTTCTTGCTTTTGGGGCTGAGGGTCGTCCTGTAAACACTCCGGAGCAGGTCGGGCTTCTTGCAATCCATCTTCCTTTAGGATTGCAACCGAGTTGGCGGGGACTTCGTTAGGAGATGAAACAGTTGCCTTGGCGAGGGGTTTAACTTTTGAGCCTTCGACTCCATCCAAATGAGTTATCGCAGGACAATAGGATCTATCAAAGTGTTTATCTGTTGCTGGAAAAGCCACACCTTTTTTTCTCCTTTTACTCCTCTTGTCTCTACTTTTTTTATTCTTTGCCATTGGAGGGCGTTGGGCCAGCGCAGACAAGGTGTAGCAACAGTGATCTTCTCCACTTAATTCACGATGGGCGATTGCTACTTCGTCTAGCTGGGGATCAACATTGGTAACATTTGCCAACCCCACGAACCGACATAAACGGTATACCATTCTGCCATCTTTTGTTTGAAACCTGGTGACTTTAGGGTGCTTTCTTGAGGGCTCTGATTTGTGCGAGGTGGTGATGAATCTTCTTCAGAGAGGTCATCCCAGTTGGGTATGGGAGTTCCTTGAAGTGGCAGGGGAGGTTCATCTTCATCGACATGGTTGTAAAATACTGCATCTGCCATGTGAGCTTCATCTACTCGAAAAGGCTTTTGAGAGCCAGCTATGGCTACTACCTCATTGTTATAAATTGCTTTGACACATTGATGGTAGGTGGTGGGGATCGTAGCATATCTATGAAGCCAAGTTCTCCCTAGGAGAGCTTGATAGGTCGTCTCTACTTCTATAACATGGAACTTAGTAGTAGAGCGAATTGGTCCCATTGCTAAGTCTAACTGGACATGACCTATGGTTTTAATCTTTTGGCTTCCAAAACCGGTGATGGAGATGGGTTGTCTGACTAAGTGCTTTTGTGGGATCCCGACTGCCTGGAAAGTAGAATAAGGCATTACATTGAGTGAAGCTCCTCCATCCATGAATGCTCTTTGAAACTCCATCCCATTGATGAATATTAGGACGTAGAGGGGACGGTTATGTGGAAACAGTACTTGTTTGTCGGCCTCGGTAAAGGTTATCGCCAAGGAGTTGCCTCGAAATACTTTCCTTACTGATCCGCTTACACTCATGCATGTTTCACCATTCTGCTCCGCAAGTCTTAAAGAGGCCTTGGTGGCTTCAAAGCGTGATGCTTCAGATAGGCCGAATTGGTCGAAGAACCATTTGAACTTTGTCGATTTCTTAAGCGCTATCACACTCCTGGTTTCAAAGTCCGGACAAGTGGGAGCTATGAGTTCAGAGAGCTCGCAGACCATCGACTCTTCCGTCTTGTCATAATGCAAAAGCATCATAACTGTCTTGCCATTATCCTTGTGGCGTGGGAGAGGATCTTTTAAGACATCTTCTGTTTGGCAGGGTAGCTCCAAAGCGTCGTCAGACATCATTTTTTGAACTAGGGATCTGAGTGCCCAACATTCCGTAGTAGGATTGAGAGGGAGATTAATGATATGGACTTTGTGCCAGACAGATTTGGGCCGGGCAGAGTTGTGCCGGACAGATTTGGGCCGGACAGAGTTGTGATGGAGATGGGTTGTCTGACTAAGTGCTTTTGTGGGATCTCGGCTGCCTGGAAAGTAGAATAAGGCATTACATTGAGTGAAGCTCCTCCATCCATGAATGCTCTTTGAAACTCCATCCCATTGATGAATATTAGGACGTAGAGGGGACGGTTATGTGGAAACAGTACTTGTTTGTCGGCCTCGGTAAAGGTTATCGCCAAGGAGTTGCCTCGAAATACTTTCCTTACTGATCCGCTTACACTCATGCATGTTTCACCATTCTGCTCCGCAAGTCTTAAAGAGGCCTTGGTGGCTTCAAAGCGTGTTGCTTCAGACAGGCCGAATTGGTTGAAGAATCATTTGAACTTTGTCGATTTCTTAAGCACTATCACACTCCTGGTTTCAAAGTCTGGACAAGTGGGAGCTGCGAGTTCAGAGAGCTCGCAGACCATCGACTCTTCCGTCTTGTCATAATGCAAAAGCATCATAACCGTCTTGCCATTATCCTTGTGGCGTGGGAGAGGATCTTTTAAGACATCTTCTGTTTGGCAGGGTAGCTCCAAAGCGTCGTCAGACATCATCTTTCGAACTAGCGATCTGAGTGCCCAACATTCCGTAGTAGGATGCTTAATGGAACAGTGGTATATGCAATAGTCTGCCCGCGCTTGATCCTTTTGGGCGACAGGTCGCCTTGGCTCGAGGAGGTGAACTTTTCCATCATTTACCCAAGCATTGAGGAGTGCTTGTGCCTCGTCCACTGAGATAGGTACGGCAGGGGAATTTGATCAAACTTTCTCTTGTTTGCCTGCGGGTCTCCTCTTCCTCTAGAGGATATATAGCGTGGTTGCGTCGGTTAGGCCTCTATGAGGAAGGTTGAGGTGCCGTTGGCCGCCATGAGTGGGGTTGTGGTGCTGTCATTCGTGCCCCTGATCTTACTGTTTCACTTATGTTTCGGGCCATAGCACATAGAATGGAAAAGTCAGGGAAGTGGTGGTTGACCAACTGGAGTTTATAAGTCATGAGCATCCCTCCGATGCACAATGACACCAGTTGGTGTTTTTCTATCGGGTCTTGAATGTCTACTGCTTTTTTCCTAAAGCGGTGGACGTAAACGAGGATGTCCTCCTCAAGTCATTGTGTTTCCCTCATAAGATGAAGGGTGGTTAACCTTTCTTCAACGTAAAAGAACTTGATGTACAACTTTTTTACCAAGTCTTACCATGAAGAGATAGAGCCAGCAGCGAGGTTGGCATACCACGAGAATGCTCAATCTGTGAGGGATTTGGAGAATTCTCCCATGCGGAGGTTTCGGTCCTCTCGGTGAGCTCCAAGAGCGTCAAGAAAGCGTGAAACATGCTCCCTGGCGTTCCCTTTTCGTCCATCGAAACGGACAAACTTGGGTACCGTATATCCTACTGGATATGGAAGACTTGCGATGTGAATAGGGTAAGGGGGACGGAGGTCCAATTCTGGGGAGGCAGGGATGTGACCTTTGTTCGTCTGAAGTAGGCTGTGTATGTGCTCTTTTACTACCTCCAATGTTAATGGTTGGGAAGGGTTATGATCCGCCAGAAGAGCTGGAGAGCCAGTCGAAGCCATTGCGGTGGGAGCTCTGCTAATGGATCCAACTTGTGGTGGAGGTATTTGGCTGGGAGCTAATGGAGGGAGCGGGGTGACTGTTTGTCCTCCCGCTTGGGTTCGTAAGTTGTTTTGTGTAGCGAGGTTGGCTTCTGAGCCATTCTGGACTAATTGTGATGATGAAAGAGGGTTAGATGATGATGGAAGCGCAGGTGCCCTTTGTAAGGCTAGTAGGGCATCCATTAAGAGTTGTTGGTTCTGTTAAAGAGAGGTGACACTCTCAGTCAATACACGTAGCTGATCTGCTATGACCGGCTGGGAGGATTGTTTTTCCGGAGAGCCGCCAGAGTTGTGTTCCGAGGTCTCCGCCAAGGTCTCCTTACTGCCACCTTGGGATGTCGCTGCTCCAGTTCTAGTGCTCTTTTTGGGTGCCATGTGAAGCAAGCACCACTCTTCCCCAGCAGAGTATAATGTGGGTATATAGTGTGGTTAGAGGTAGTTCGGGAAGATGGCGGGCACTTCAATGACCTGAGATCACCGGAGGTGGAGAGGAGGAGGTCAAAGCAAGCTTGGAGAGGGAGAGGTTGGTAGTGATAGACCTTAAACACTAATGTAGAGTGTGAGAGAGGGTGTTTAAACATGAGACTTGGTTGTGTTATTGTTTCGTTGCATATACGATACGTTATATAGGCCACAGGAGTATTGGAGCCCAAGCAAACTGTTGGACAGATGGCTTATTCTCCTCAACTCTGCCAGAAGTGATATAAGCCCTTCTGTCGTCTGTGGCTTGACGGCAGCCGAAGAGCAACATTTCATGGCAGACGGAAAATAACATTTCGTATGTGCATCGGATGACATGAATGTAAGGTCGGTGTTGCCTCTTCCTCAAGCTTGGTCGAGATGGAGTTGTCTTAGCAAGAAGACAACCATCTCGACGATCCCATGACCTCAACTGCCAATTCGGTATCCTCTGATGATCCCGGGCAATAGTGCCTGGGTCCTACTCCCAACCTAGGCATATCAGTAGGTGAATGGGCTAGGGCCCACCTTAATGTTTAGGAGAGCTAGGGGCTCGCTTCCAAGCGACCAAGTAGGAGAATGGGTCGTGGGCTTATCTCAATGTTTAGGAGAGGAGCTCGCTTCTAAGCGACCAAGTAGGAGAATGGGCCGCAGGCCTACTCAATATTTAGGACAGCCAGTGTTTATCAATCCAAGTCCAAGTGAATTGGGGGCTGATTGTATTGTTGTTTGGTCTTGGAGCGAGGTATGAAGGACCATAGGCCCTGCGGGACTATGGTGCTGCCTGTTGCAAGGCTCTTCATATTTAGATATATTTAGGCTTATATGTATGCTCCCATTTAGGCTAAGCATATAGTCTTGGTTTTACGTAGTGCCTTGGCACATGGTGCCCGTAGGGCTCGCCATGTATCAAACATACGACATGCCCGTGTGGTGCCTTATCTGCCACGTGTGAGGTTTTGGTGATGTGGCACCTGTAGGGCTTGCCATGTATTGGGCTTGATACAAGTACCTACAATCCCTATTGAAGCTTAGAAGTGTTTGGGTAAAAAAAGGATTGCTTGGTTGACTAGGTTGTTTAACAAAATTTTGTTGATTAGGAACATGCCAAATGAGTAAAGGAAGAGTATTTTATTGTCAATCTATAAGAATAAAAGAGATGTTCAGAATTACAACAACTATAGAAGAATCAAGTTAATGTGTCATATAATGAAAGTGTGGGGGAGGATAATGGAACGCCGATTGCGAGATATAACAAAAGTGTCAGATAATCAATTTGGGTTTATATCTGGCAGGTCAACAATGGAGGCGATTTATCTTTTGAGGAGAGTAATAGAAAAGTATAGAGAAAAAAAAAAGAGACATTCATATGGTGTTTATTGACTTTGAGAAAGCATATGATAAAATGTCCCGGAATATAATATGGTGGGTGTTAGAGAAAAAAGGGGTGACAAAAGGTTACATTGATGTGATTAGGGACATATATGAAGGAGTGGTGACCACTATTAAATCGTATGCTGGAGAGATAAATGAATTTCCTATCACTGTAGGATTACACCAAGGAACTACCTTAAGTCCTTATCTTTTTGCTTTAGTTATGGATGAGTTGACAAGAAATATTCAGGATGATGTGCCATGGTGTATGCTTTTTGCAGATGATATTGTGCTAGTGGATGAGACTAGAGAAGGAGTTAACACAAAGTTAGAGATTTGGAGAAAAGCTCTTGAATCTAAAGGATTCCGGATAAGCAGAACTAAGAAAGAGTACATGGAGTGTAAATTTAGTAACAGTAATAATGAAAGCAAAGAAGAAGTGAAGATTGAGAATCAAAAACTGTCTAAGAGTGAACATTTTCGTTATTTAGGGTCAATTATCACAACAGTGGGAGAGATTGATACGGATGTGGCCCATAGGATTAAGGCGGGATGGTGTAAGTGGAGAAGTGCGTCTAGGGTACTGTGCGATAAACGAATACCCACTGGACTAAAAGGTAAGTTCTATAGAACGGCTATTAGACCAGCGATGTTGTATGGAATGGAGTGTTGGACAACCAATAAACAACATGTAGGTAAGATGAGTGTGGCTGAGATGAGGATGCTAAGGTGAATGTGTGGCAAAACTAGACAAGATAGAATTAGGAATGAGTGTATTCGGGAATGGGTAGAAGTAGCACCGATAGAAGATAAGTTGAGAGAGAATCGATTGAGATAGTTTAGTCACATTCAACGGAGACCAACAAAGGCAGTAGTGAAGAGATGCGATATTGTAACGGTAGATGAGAGTGTTAGGGGACGGGGTAGGCCTAGATTAACTTTGGTTAGCGTTGTAAATAGATATATGGATCTACCTAATTTGACTAATGAAATGGCCTTTGATAGGGCCGCGTAGAGAAGAAAGATTCATATAACCGACTCTATTTGATGGGAATTAAGGCTTGGTTTGGTTTATCTTTGATGCCACTCTAAATTAATCAGACTGCCTTAACATTCACTGTGCGGTAATTTACGACAGAACCCAGCTTCCCATACTGATTAATTACTGAGGAAAGTGATAGTATTCAGACAAGTGCAGTACCTGATATATTGTAAGGCCAATGCTAACTAGAACACTACAACTCACACTTTCCAAAACCAAGAAAAAAAACATTAAAAGTACTTGATAGTTTTAGTTATATAGCAATAAAATCACACCAAAAATAGTTGGAAAAAAAGTCAGGCAAAGCACAGCACTTAACTACCTTACCAGGAAGAGATGGAAAGCATACTATGCACCGATGAACAATGGGTATCCAAGGAAAACGTGCCCTGTCCTTCTAAATAACAATGCATTGAATGTCTGCATCTTCATGAAGCCCTTCAATTACCCAGTATGTGCTTATATTTTGTGTTGTCTAATTTGATCTAGGTCATTATGAAACCAAAAAGGCAACCATTCCTTCATAAATTCCTGTCTGTATCATTGTTGTCCAGTCACAGCACAACACTAAAAACTAGAGTCAGAAAATGGGTATATCTTATATGCAAACCAACAAGCTACTTTATCACAACAAATTAAAAGCACTAACAAAGAAAGAACAATTGTGAATATAAAGAGATTCCCAAACCAACTTTTTTGAGGGAAAATATTTTAAGAGCAGTGTTATCATACATGCATAGAAGGATATGATGGGAGTTTGCCATGGTTGATTCACATTTTACAGTATGCACTCGGCAATATAGTGTGCAGAATAGTTGCAGCACTTGCCAGCTGATAAACAGGGAAGCTTAAAAAATGGAAACATATGTGAGGCCACTGCATTTATAATCTTTAGTGCATCCAAAGAAGGTCAAGTATTGCACTTATGAAAGATTATTCTTTTACACGAAAGTTGCAAACCTGTTCCCAGAAATATAAGACTGACAGGCCCATCAGGTAGTTGCTCTCGCCAGTTGAGTAAGACTTGAAACTCAAAAATGCCACCCTCTAGCACGCCAAAGTCTGCGTGAATTTTCACTACAACGCGCAGCTTTGATTTTCAAAAAAAGCTTGTAAGCCATGTCGACTTTATACGAAGACAATAGTTTGTTATTCAATTTGCTACAAATAAGTCTGCTTGGACAAAAACCCATGCGCAAAGACTCTTCCATGACAAGGACTGCATTCTCAAGCTGGCCTACATTGCAAAGGCCACTAATGACATACTCATAAACTTCCATATCAGAAGAGTGCCCATTCTTTTGCATCTCATCCCATATACTCAACAACATACCACATTTACCAAATCTTGAAAGTCGCATAAGCAACAACTTGTAAGCAACCAGTGATACACTACATCCCACTTTTCTTGCTTTCTTATAGATCATCAAAGCTGCATGAGGTGGACCATAGCTACACAGAGGTTCAATAAAAGACGTTACAGTCCCCGACATAGGAATGAACCCTCGACTTAACATTTCATCGAACATTTCAATTGCATCTGCAACTTTTCGAGCTTTAAGAAAACCAGTAATCAATGTGGTATAAGTATCCATATTTGGCTTACAGTTATTACTCAACATACTCTCGTAATATCTCTTGCTTTCATCAAAATCACCGACTGATATAAAATTAGAAATCATCGCATTGTAAACACCAGCATCCGGCGCACACCCTCTCTCCTCCATACTTTTAAAGATCTCAACAGAATCATCAATTTGATCAGCTCTCCCTAAACCCTCGAGAAGGTAACTAAAAGTTAAACAATCGGGATCAAATCCATCTTCCATCATTGCTCTCAAAACCGTCTCGATGTCACTAATTCTTCCAAATTTCGACCACCCACAAATAACAAGATTGTATGACATACAATTAAAGGGTATCTTCCCTTTCATTTTATTAAGAACAGAATTTGCCAAACCCACATGAGAACGCCTACACAAACACAATAAAAGCACATTCAAAGACTCCGTATCACATTTTGACCCAAACTCTTCCAATTGTCCAAAAAATTGGATTGCTTTCGACACATGCCGAGCCCGAACATAACTGTCCATTACAATCTCCAGAGTATCCGAAACAGGGGTAATTCCTTCCATCTTCATATCATGCAAAATTTCGACCATGAAATCAAAAAATTTCCTTCTTCCTAATGCTTTAAGAATAACATGGTAACTATCAATTTCTTTATTTATCATGGGCTGCTTGATTGCCCAGTTAAAAAACATAACCATTGCTTCACCACCCAAATTCCCTCTATTCACTACCTTGGCAACAGTATGGACACTCAATTCGACACCGGTGTTCGATAAAGCGTGCTCGATTGCGGATTTACCTAGGAGTTTCTGAAGAAAAACGCCTCGTAGTTTATCTTCGGGTGCTAGAAACCCATCAACGGCCCTAAATTCTGGTTGATTGTTCGCAAATTGGGTCTGGATTGATGGGTTGTGAGGGATTGGTAAGAGATGAGAGAGCTCGTTCAGGATGTGAGATTCGTGAGTGATAGTGTGGAACGTGGGTGGATTTTCGAGTGGTTCGTTGTTGGAAGAGTTTGAAAGTGAATCACAGGTCGAGAATGAGAACTGAGAGAGGGAATTTGAGGAAGAAAGGAAGTGAGAGTTGTACCTGAATGTGTAGAAGCGTGAGAGATAGGCAGTGATTCGTTGGGTTTGTGCGGCCATGGAAATGCCTTCGTCTCCGCTAGACACTGCATCTATACTATTTTATACTTCAGCCATCTACATCAGACTGACCACCAAATTTAAATTTGACGGAAACAAAAAAAAGACAGATTTTATCTCCCTCACAATTCCATTAAAATGAGATCAAATTAAAAATGGGACAAAACTTTTATCAATCTGAGAAGTTGGGTCAAATTTCACCATTTTATTATGGGTCTACATTAGAAGTAGGTCTCACCGGATAATCGGCCGGTTCTCTAATTGGTCATCCGATTTATATAGAAAATGTAAATGTTTGACCTACAAACTGCTTTAAAAGTTGGTTGTTTATGTGACACTAACAATAAATTTAACATTGATATAGATTTAAATTTCTATCAAAATGTAATATGAAAAAATTACATTGTATATAGATTTAAATTTCTGTCAAAATTGGCCGTTCAGTAGCTACAACTCCAAAAGTTACCGTTGGTGTTTCAGGGTATTTGACAAAGTTACCGTTGTTATGATTTATAAACTATACCATTCTTTTAATTTCACTATATCATTAGGATTTCTATTTTCTTTGTGAGTTTCAGTTTGACAATATCATTTCAATTTCTATTTTCTTTGTGAGCTTCAGTGTATATTATCTCTTTCTCAGCTTCAGTGTATATTATTACAATATATTTCACTGTTTGAGTTGTGTACAAGCACGAAATAATCTTCTCGTATAATCCTGTCGATCAAGTTTGCATTCTTCCAAACGTCGTCGTTTTTACTACCTGAAAATACAAACGTGAGCTAGTCGGCGGGTGTGTGCCGGAAAACCTCTCCAATGCCTAAGTCAGTAAATAGACACAAAAACTTTATGTATTTGAGAGAAAAAAATTGTGATACCTGTACATAGGTCCTGTACAAGTTTTTATAGATTCCGCCTGGCACAATCTTAGTAAAACTCTTATTCTCCAATGTAGAATCCTCCTAGGAATCATATCTCTAAAAGATAATGCTTATCTTTTAACACCCTCCTCACTGTTTAACCAAGTAAGATGGTTCAAACCCTGTGCCACGGTTTGGTAATAGCACAACCGAGCTAGCACAGCCTTGTCTTACACCAGACTTAACCGGGCTCACTCAGCTTGGTGGTATCTTGGGCATCGCAGTCAGTCTTGAGATTACACCCTATAGTGTTATCCTCTAGCTCGGTTTTCCTTTCACTGATACCTCGGTCCAAGACATCCAGACCAGGCCACCAGTAGCCACCTCTGACCGAACTGACAGGATCAAGGGCAAAGCTACGTAGACAATTACCTCGGGCCATAACTCGGTTCGTTTCAACATCTGGACTTAGCTCGGTCCAAGTTACTTATAAATTACCCTCTCAATTGCCCCTTAATTCTATCTGCAACGCATGATTTGGGATTATTCTTCTCTAGCTGAGCTAAATGTACAAGCCTCCAACCGAGCTAAATAGTATTCTTCCCCTCCAGAAATGTCTTATCAGTTGCTTTGCACGTCGTTCCACTACTCAAGAACGTCTGAAACGTTATTTATTCCTCTTGACACGTGGCATGCTCCTACTAGTCAAGTACACCTGTCATAGCCGTCTTTGTACTACGAAAATTTGAACAGTCCCACCAATTCTCGCGCCTATACAAAAACTCATTTCTTGAACCAAAGCACTCCTGTTGTTCATCTTCTCTTTCTTGCCTTTATGAGCTCTACATCTGTATTCTAGCCCCAAAACAAGTTGCCATACCATCCGCATCACTTGCCCCTTTGTTTGGTTGGATTCTGCCTTCAAGTTTCAAAACCCGTAAGTTTGCTATCGCCTCTTTCTAGTGTTCTTTTCTTTTTTATTAATTTTCAAAATCCCAGCAGTTAATCCCCATATAAGTATGTTATGTACGCTCAGAGTGTTTTGAGGTTTAAGCTCAAAACCTCACACTCAAGCCTGAAGAACACTCTAGCTGGATTTTAAATTAGTTTAAAACATGGACTTTGATGAAAAATTGTGTTGTGACCGAACTAAGAATTTGTTTGCGACCCTTAGGCTGGAAACTGACCGAACTAGAATCAAGTTATACCCTCGTGCACTAATCACCAACCATGCTACAAACCTTGAGCTGGCCCTGTTTTTCAACCGACCTGTCTGTAACCCAGATGCAGTCGAGCTAGGCTTTTTCTGCTTGTTGCCTATTTACTTAGCCTGGTTCAGTACATCTGGGCATAACACTTTCTTCATTTCCATTTTGCAGACTTGACTAGGTTGGCCAAGCACACCTTTACACTTTGCCCCTGAGCGATTTTGCTCGACCGAGCCACCCCAAGCTGCCTCAACGCCGGGCTAGGCATCTGTGTCCATTTGGAACACCATAATTTTTAAGTATAATAGGCAAATACCGATTCTTGGTGGACTCACCTGAGGCCATGGCCGAATTCCGAAAAGACTACCATATTCCTGATGACGTCCACCTCTCCTTAGCTGAGCTAGATACCACCCCCTGGGGCAAACCGGGCTTCATTCCATTTACAGTAATATCGATCGTAGAAGCTTAGCTTCGGTTCCCTGTCCAGCCCCTCATATGCGAGTTCCTTAGTTAAACAAGATTATGTCCAACCCAACTCTCCACAAATACTTATAGGATAATAAATGGCATCGCCAAGCTAAACCGCCGGCTTGGCCTCAACCTCAAATTAGCCGAGCTATTTCACCAATATTCGCTCTGCCAAAATGACGACGGTTGGGTATACTACCTCAGAGTTAGAAGAGGCCAAGAAAAAATTATACACCAGATAAAGACTTGAACAATGACAATTTCTTCTGGGTTTCTAGCTAGTTTGAAGACCAGGAAGCCCAGATACCGGGCTATAATATAAACTGGAATAAAGGAACTGCTGGTAAGAACATCTCAGTCCAACTTTCTTTGTTGTTTTCAATAACCACCGCGCTAACCCATTGCGTTCCTTGTCTTTCTTTTTTACAGATTTGAACCAGCTTAAATCACAGTATACTTACGCTAATCAAGATGCCCTTTATGCCGCACTTCAATACCACTACTGCGATTGGGCTGAGCTACTAAACTTTGAGCCGACTTACCGGTATAACGGAAAGAGAAAAACCAGAGTCACTAACTTCCTCCTAGAACCTTCACCCGAGCCGGACCCCACTCTCCCCCAGATTAATTTAATTCCCTTGGCTGAGGAACAGGAAATGGAAAAATGAAGGGCCATGCGAGCTCTGATCACTAAACAACCTTCCTCCGAAAACCAATCGGAATAAGCCCCATCTGACCAACCACGCGAGACCGTTGTTGCTCTACCAACAACCAGGGCAATATCATCCCAACTGAGCAAATGTGCGCGTACCTCTTCGACCAAACCGCAACACCTGGTGGATGAAGAAGAGACTACATTACCTGAACATGCCCTACTGAGTCCAAAACACGCACGTTCGGGCCAAACAAGCTCTTCTGAATGGGCGCCCTCGATGTCCTACAAGAACCGAGCTGTATCCATCACGGATTCAGTGGTTGTAGAAAAGGACCATATACTCGCATTCAACCTCTCCAAAAGTGTCTGTCTGCCACCAGACATGGAGCACCATGACCACCTGACCGAGCTCAAGGCCATTCGCTTGGCAACCAAGTAAATGGTACTTATAAGTTTTCTCCCCTCTATTTGTTTCCACTTTTGATCGTCTGTTTGCTCAGTTTAACATAATCACTACCTCTTCTATCTTGTAGGCTTTGCAGAAGAACCATGTTGCCTACAAACGCGTACTTAAACTTCGCAAGACAGCGCAGTCAGCCATGGCAGATGCAAGTGCCAAGTCGGCTGAACAAAAGGAGGCCAAGCTAAAAATGGCCAAGCTGGAATCTGAAAATGCACGGCTCACTGAATTGGTTAATACAACGGAAACCGACAAGCAAAAGGCGTTGGCCGAATAAAAAGACCGATACCTACGTGAACTAGAAAAGCTGGAAAGAAAGAAGAGTGCCAAGATCACCAAGCTGCAGAAGAAGATGGAAGACACTGAAGACCGAGGCTTCAAAGAAGGGGAGGCAACCTACGTTTTACAGTGTGAAGCTGCCAAAGGTATCTTCTTCAAATGCGGGTGGAAGATTGCTGCCGTTAAGCTTGGTTAGGGGCCAGACACCAAGATCTTTCAGAACCCTCCCCTTCATTTTATTCCAAACTACATGTCAGACTACACTAACGCAGTCCAATAGAAGTTTCTCCAAGAGGGAGAGGAGAAAGAAAACCCTAAACCGCATAATGCCCCATCTACAAACACTGACCCTGGTCTCCAGCCTCTTCTGCCAGCTCGGGTGGATCCGCGTAGCCAACTGATGCCAAGTGTAGTTGAGGGGGCAAATGTGACCGACCTAACTCAGGAGGTCGCCTCTAAAACCGGCCTGCCGAGTGGCGAAGCCCATGTTGATTTGGACGCTGACCTGGATGACCTGTTTGCCTGATTTTTCTCTTGTTGTATATATTTTTTTTCCCTTTTCCCTTTTTAAAAAATGTAACCGGGCTACAAGCCCCTCATTTGTATTGAATTTCCAGTGAATGAAATTTCTTATTTTGCCTAACTTTTTGTTCGGTTAATGTACTTTTTCCCTTAAAGTACTAACTTTCTACAAACCTAGCTGGCCTAATTTGGCTCGGCCTCCCCTTATCCTGCCCACCTTTTTTGGCCGAGATAAGCATCTCGGCCGGACAACAACTTCAGGATTTTAGATAAGTGTTGGTTAAACCTGCCAACTTTCTTCAGCTTAGATCCTGATCTCGGCTAAAGAACAAAAGATGTTTGGTTAAACTTGTCAAACTTCCTTCAGCCTAAATCCTTATCTCGGCTGAATAAAAAAAAAATGTTGGTCAAACCTGCCAACCTTCTTCAGCCTAAATTCTTATCTCCGCTGAAGAACAAAAGAAGTTTGGTCCATCCTGCCAAACTTCTCTAGCCTAGATCCTTATCTCAACTAAAGAACGAAAAAAGTATTGGTCAAACTTGCCAACTTCCTTCAGCCTAGATCCTTTTCTCGGCTGAGGAAAGAAAAAAGTGTTGATCAAACCTGCCAACCTTCTTCAGCCTAGATTCTTATCTCGGTTGAAGAATAAAAGATGTTTGGTCCATCCTGCCAAACTTCTCCAGCCTAGATCCTTATCTCAGTTGAAGAAGAGAACTAAATGTTGGTTAAACCTGCCAACCATGTTAATTACCCCCAATTGGCAATAACTGTGAACAACTT